AGCGTGTTTGATTGTCACAATACACTCACACATCCCCACACTCCAACATTCACCAATTCCTGCTTGCTGCAGGCATTCGAGGATGCAGTGACCTATGCCGAAAAGTTTCCCAATCTGCTGCAATGGGTTTTCAGTGCACAACACCTCGTCACTTCAGAGAGTCTGGCCCACCTTGCACGTGCGTGTCCGCTGATTACTCACATGGACACATCACATATCGCCCACAGCTGGTTGTGCCAAGCTGAGGTGTACACTAACATGCTGCAATACTGGCCTAACCTGAGGTCTCTGAGTGTGACGGAGTCTTCGGTGTTGGCTGGAGTAGACCTGTCGTGCCTGGCGGAGCTCAGAATGTGGGGTGAGCTCTGTATAGACATCCAGTCACATAGCCTTCGCATCCTGGAAGCTGCATGCTGTAGTTCGATACCGGTATGTGGCGGACTGCGTGTTCTTGCGGGGCTCTCTCTCTATGTGTCTCCTACTATATGTATGTAAATGAAGTTTTTTTTTGTAGAAGAAGGCGGTCTTGTCGTGCCTGGGCGACTTCAGGATGTGGAGCTTGCTCTGTAGTTATTGGCACCCCACTCTATGCGCGTGAACGAGGTTTCTGTGTAGGCTAAGGCGACCTTGGTGTGTCCAATGAACTTCAGGGTATGGAGGTTGCTCTGTCGTTGTTGTCATCCAGTCACACAGCCTTTACACTTTGAAAGCTTCGTCCTGCTGGTCGATACCGATATGCGACGAGGGGCGAATTCTTATGTGCCTCTCTGTGTATGTCTTGTTACGCTATGCGCGTGAACAAGGCTCTTATGCGAGAGAAGGCGGCCCTGTTGTGCCTGGTGGATTGCAGGATGTGGGGCTTGCACTGCAGTTGTAGACATCCAGCCACACTGCAAGCTGCCCCGTAGACCGATACCGTTGTGAGCCATGACTTGTCGGGCTCTTTTCTCCTCTGTGTCTCCTCGTGTGTGTATTCTTTGTAGTTCGGGTCAGTGACATGTGGTGGGTGTTCGTGTGTGGCTCTATGTACCTGTCCCCATGCGTGTTTCGCACTGCTCTGCGTCGGGATGGATTGCGGTCAGGGGGCTGATAGAACATGCTAAGGTCGAACTATCTGTCATGAATATATCAGTTCGGTACAAATCGTCCCACCACCAAAGTTGTAGTATAGGTAGGATCAAAGTTACAGCAGTATGGAATATTCGGTAGTATACTATGTGTGGATGCATTGTGGATGTGATGCGAGTGTTGTGTGCATGAATATTGTGATGTATGAATCTTATTGGTTTCAAGATTCCTTACTGTACGGACATTGATACTATAGCCATGGAATCGTAGCCATACATACCATGCCATGCTTCAAGGTCCCAGGTCCCAATACTTCTCTAATCCTTCGCAAACTTAAACAATATCAACAGAATCTGCTGAAGAACTGCCCGAACCTGAGCGAACTGATTGTGAAAGGCTCCACAGTTACTTTCGAGCTACACTCAGCGCATCTGCACACGTTGGCTGTGGAGGGCGTTGCTTGCAAGGGTGCACTCGACCACTGCATGGCGCTTACTGATCTGGATGTGGATTGGATACTTCATCCACGCGAGAGGGGTACTACACATGATGACACGGAAGATGATGAGAGTCGGCTGACATCAAGTTTGCATACGTTGGCCGACAATGTACAGTCATTGCAAGGGCAAGGGGACTCGAGCTCTAGTCGTGCTGTATGGCCGCGGTCTCGGGATACCGATGAAAGAAATGGAATACAGAGAGGCTCTCAAAGGAATGGAATGCTCGACACAGCAAGCACGGGTAGTGCTACAGCTGGCGAAGTTAGCGCAGATACAAACAGAGTGGACAGGAATATTCATTCGTATCTTCACCCAAGCATTCAGACACTAACGTACCGGGGAATTCTGTTGAAAAGTAGGATGTTGGAATGTTTTCCGAATATATGCCGACTAGGTAGGTGTCAATCTTTGCACAGGTCTGGTTTATATGCTTATGCATGTGCGCGGGTGTGTAGGGGCTTGTGGTTTTGAAGTTGTATCTGTGGACAATACACTATGTTGTATACTGTATATTGCAGTTTGGGGTGTCATAACTTGCTTGTATGGACAAGGAATCCAATCAATGTCGGTGTTTGGCGGTATTTTGCATCTATACATTCTTTGCAAAGGGATACAGATGCAGTTAGCTGTAAGTTTCTATTCACTTATTATCGGCGATAGCGAGACAGTACTGTCGACTACAATCATAATAATTTTGTTCTATCGTAGATATATTAAACACCTATTTTCCGAATATATGAAACACCTTTTCGGTTTATTTAGTTGAACGCATTTTCCACTTTCTGGTAATTGTTGGTGTCCAATCATTTCACCATGCTGTACTATATGGTTTACCAAATTATAAACTTCTGATACCTTTATAGAACTTACTGGTGATAGTTGATCTGAAACTTTACTTCTTCTGCAGTTTGTCCCAGTATAGATACCCAGCTTGAAGCAGGATTCCACTCAATCGCACTCACCAGTATAACCCTGGAGGCCGCAATGCCAAAGAACTACTCACTGCCACACTTAGAGTCGTTGACATGTTCGAATTCGGTGGGAAGGCTGAGATTACCGGCACTGACACTGCTGCACGTGTACTCTTTCTACAGTAAGCGTGCGCTTGTGGAGACCATTGCGTCGGTAAGGATCGTGTCATTGTGTGTACCTATGCTAATACACTCCATGTTTTGCCGGTGTCTCTAAGTTGTATATATGTAGGTCGTGCGTGATAGCAGAATAACACCAGCGGAAAGGTCTTATCAATTATACCAGTGCGAGCTCCATCATTCGCAGCCGATGCAAAAAAATGGTGAGGCATATTGAAGTTCAATGAAGACTATTCATTTGCAACGGGGTGAGCGCGTTAGAGTGCGAAAAAGTTGATTACGAGAGAAAGTTTCAAACAGAAGGTATTCTAGATTGTATATGTAAAGCGTTTTGACATCCGAACCAGTACTAAAGCATACAGCACACCAAATTACATCTCTACAGTGCCCACTGCTGAGTATAATATGTACCATACATGGCAACCCCTGGAACAGCGTGAATCCCTGGGTCCATCCATCCAACAAGATCTGGCAAGAAATTCGAGATCTAGAGCACTCCAGGAATGTGAGATTTGTAGTCAGTGGCTGGAATCGAGGCATCATGCCGGACGAGTTCGAGCAGATGCGCAAAGAATACCGGGTGGGATACACAGCAGAGTGGATAGAACGATGACGAGTAGTTAATCAAGTAATTAAAGCCCCCTCATACATGGGCTTATATATTTGAAAGTTACACCGATAATTGATCAGAGAGATGTTAACTATACTTATATATAGATTCTTAGTGAGCGTCGTACAGACTGTGATTTGAGGCCCGGCGTGTGAGCTTGATTGTGATCCTCTGGTTTTCTCAGAGGAGCCGACTTGCGGAAATCATCAAGCCTGGGACCAGACTTACTGAGGGTCCTGGTTTTGTCAATATAGGATGATGAGTAGGAAATATTTGCTGTAAATCCCTGTCCGAATGGCGAACCACCGAGTGTGCAGGTGGAACCAACGCATATGCTATTTTCTATAAAAAAAGTATTAAAAAACGCCGCAGATCTGCCCCCATTTATGGAGTCTTTTATATCTGTGCTGAATCTGATACGCATAACTACAAAGCATAAAATAGCATTAAAAAAAATCAGACTCCAGGGACCAGGAGTCACAGGACGGTGTGCAGGTGGATTTTAAAGCATATAACAGGTTAATATGCTGGATAATAGTAGTGAATGGGTGGCGATTGCCGGGGCCACAGGTAATGCCGGCAAAGAGGTGGTAAGATCAGCCAGTGCGAGTGGCTTGCGAGTTAGAGCTCTGGTTCGAAACAAGGACAGACTGGGCGATGTGCTGCACTTGTGTGAAGACGTGCGGATAGTGCAAGTGACACAGCCAGAAACATTAAAGGTTTGAAGATGATGATGGCTCTCTGCTTTCCAGTAGCTCTGTGATTCGTCTACTTATTTTATCTATATTTTCTATGTGTTTGTATGGACTTGTTTGCATCAACGTATTCGCTGTGTGTTGACACAGTGATTAGGAGTTGGTTGCATTCCACGTTCCGATTGTTGTAACGATATTTTGAAGAGCCGGACATGCTCAAGGCTTGCATCGGTTTAAAAGCGCAAGAAACCATAGTACACAAATAGTTAAACTTACAAGAAATCAGGAAGTGAGTGCAGTGCTGCCCCACAACATGAATTCACGCTTATAAATGTTAGAGGTCAGTCCCGGAGAAGACAAAAGTTCTTTTTTCCCCTGATTTGATCGATTGCCTATTTGAACGGTTCAAGTATGATATAGATGTGTGAATATATTTCAGTGTATACTTTTATCTGTGAAGGTGCATATGCATTTATTCTACACAAGTAATGTACAAAGTAATATCCATACAACTAACACACATCAACAAACAAAGGTGGACACGCACACAAACACAGACAGACAGACACACGTGTGCACACACAACTATCATATATACTCGTATACACAAAAACACAAGCAAAGGTGCGTAAACACACACAAACACTTTACCAGACACATGTACACACCCAAGAATTGCACACAAACACGTGTACAAGCACAAACACACATATGTACATTCACAGACAAAACAAAATTTTATAGATATATA